AGACTAGAGGGTTAATTTGCAGGACAGGTGAGGGAAACAATCCAAACAAATGGTTTTTTCTTCTTCCTTTTTTTTTTTTTAAAGGTGACTGGGTGCAACTTTATTTTTTTAAATATTTTATTGATTTTTTACAGAGAGGAAGGGAGAGTGATAGAGAGTTAGAAACATCGATGAGCGAGAAACATCAGTCAGCTGCCTCCTGCACGCACCCTACTGGGGATGTGCCTGCAGCCAAGGTACATGCCCTTGACCGGAATCGAACCTGGGACCCTTGAGTCCGCAGGCCGATGCTCTATCCACTGAGCTAAACCGGTTAGGGCTGGGTGCAACTTTAGATTGCCTTGTTAGGGAAAGCAAATCTCTGAGGAAGTGACATTTATTTGTTTGTTTATTTATTTATTATTTTTAAAATATATTTTTATTGACTTCAGAGAGGAAGAAAGAGGGAGAGAGATAGAAACATCAGTGATGAGAGAGAATCATTGATCGGCTGCCTCCTGCACCCCCCACACTGGGGGATCGAGCCTGCAACCCAGGCAATGTGCCCTGGCTGGGAATTGAACCATGACCTCCTGGTTCATAGGTTGAGGCTCAACTGCTGAGCCACGCCGCTGGGTGCAAACAAGTTTCTTCATAAGTGATTTAAACTTGGCAAAACTAGTGTAATAAAGGAGTAATTAAGAGTCAAGATCATGGCAAACCAAGTGAATAAGCACAGCATATATTGTCAGGTTTTCATGATTAAAAATCCAAGAGATTACTTGCTGAATGTTTATGTCAGTTATCTTTTGTGTTTACTGAATCCTAAGAATGCCCACATTTCTGCTGTAAGTCATAAATTTAGGAGCCAGTCAGCAACTGCCCTAGAGAAACAGGTTCAGGAGACCCGTGGGCCTGAGTTTACCTGCTCTTTCTAAAAAAATTGTGCCTTTGGATCGACTATTGGGTCCAATTCTTTGTATTTTTATTTGGGGGAGGTAAGAAAGGGAACAGTATCAGGGATCCTGGAACATTTTAGATGTATATATTTTTGAAAAGTTAGAATAGGAATGGTTGTTACAATAACAAATAGTCAAGTAATGAAACATATTTTCAGGTGATCTCTTATTTAAAATAAAAACCTTTGTTCTTTTCAGCGACCTTTGGCTCTGGGAGCTGATATTTGTATGTATTCAGCAACAAAATATATGAATGGTAAGACATGCAGAATCTACACTTTGAAAGTTCTTTTCCATGAATCGATGAAAATAGCGTAGGGCTATTTTTGACACTTTTGATCCCTTTTCTCCCGCTATTATTTAGGTTTTCTCTGTGACTCATGTAGCAAGTAAAAAAATTACACTTTGATTAAATATAAGATTTCATTTATAACAGATCTAACTATGCTCATGATTTATGAGCAGAGGATTAAATTTTTTTAAAAAATATATTTTATTGATTTTTTACAGAGAGGAAGGGAGAGTGATACAGAGTTAGAAACATCGATGAGAGAGAAACATCGACCAGCTGCCTCCCGCACACCTCCCACTGGGGGTGTGCCCACAACCAAGGTACATGCCCTTGACCGGAATCGAACCTGGGACCCTTTAGTCCGCAGGCCGACGGTCTATCCACTGAGCCAAACCGGTTTGGCGAGAGGATTAAATTTTACTATAAAAGATTATACGTTCATCCTGCTTACAGCTTTAAAAGAAACATTTACTTTTTATATGATTTTTATTTTATTATTTTGAGTATGGCTTTTGCTATTATAAAATAAAGTTTATTTAAACTTATTCTAGAGGGCTTTTTTCCAGAGTTCGCTCAAGTGAAAATCACATTTTAGAAATTATAAATTGAAGTAAAAACAATTATAAATTGAAGTTAAAGTTGTTTTTAACTTAACAGTGTTTGTTTTTTCTCAGGCCACAGCGATGTTGTAATGGGCTTAGTGTCTGTTAATTCTGAGAGCCTCCATGAGAAGCTCCGATTCCTGCAGAATTGTGAGTATTGAAAAAATCTGGATTATTTTATGGTCTCACAGGGGCTACATTTAATCTTTTTATTTCCACTAAATGTTGTAAAGTGATAGCATTCTATTAATTCAGAAAGAAATCAGAAAAAAATTGGGTATTTAGAGGAAAGTAGAAAAATGGGGTTATAAAGATTTAGTTATAGCGTAATGGAGCTTTACAGCATGACACACAGGATGAGTTGTGTTTTTTCAAATCCACGTTAATTTTGATCATAACGTGATAAAGCCCAAGTGGATTTTAGTTTAAGACTTAATGAATTTTTTTTCTTTTCTTTAAACACCAACATTTGGTATGATGACTTTCTTATATGATACTTTTTATATCTGAAATGGTGGTGAATTTTAAATAGCACATAAGATATAAACATAATTTTCATCAGATGTCTGTCTACACATCACTTCCTTGTTAGATTGTTTAGTTATCCCAGAATAGATAGGAGTGATTTTTAAGAGACTTCAATTAATTATTACAGTTTGACAAACACATAAGATACAAACACAATTAGGGATACAAGTGCCCTTCTAGGAAGTAAATATTAAAGTAACAAAAGGGGGCTCTGAGGAGGGAAACTAAAACTTATTGCTTGTTAAGTTTCATTTGTAAAAAGTCGGAAAAAGTCGGAGTGTGGAGGCATGTAAAGTCATAGGCTGCTTTAGACAAAAGCTAAATAGATTATCCGTAGAACATTCAGTAACAACAGGAACTGACCTGCTTTTTTCTCTATATGTTATAATACTTTTGCAAAGAAATACAAGGCTCAGCTCTGTGCAGTATGCCATTTTATTAAGATCATAGAAAGGACTGTTTATGTTCATATTCGAAAAGTTACTGTGTTTGTACATAATTTTCAGGATATTCCTTTTCCCTCTCATTTTAAAGCCCATTCCTCTGAGCATAAATTATGCTCCATTCTCATGCTTCTGATTTGAGATATTAATCCCCCCGCCCACCCTAAAACTCAAGCATTGGGTTTTGTAGCTAGCTTCTCAGAGACACTATCATGAAAAAGAGGGGTCAGAAAATGTTGGGGATTCCTACCCACCTTCAACACTAACCCAGGATATGTTTATTTTGCAGCAATTGGGGCAGTCCCCTCTCCTTTTGACTGTTACCTCTGCAATCGAGGCCTGAAGACACTACAAGTCCGAATGCAGAAGCATTTTGAAAATGGAATGGCAGTTGCTCAGTTTCTGGAGTCACATCCTCTGGTGGAAAAGGTTATTTATCCTGGTATGTTAATCTGAGTTCTAAGCACATATTCTTGGGATTGTAAGGCTTATCCTAAGCATCCTGTGTATGTAACATTTATTTGTAAGTTAGGTGGTTTCATATATTTTCATGTTCATTAATTATTGAATGCTGCTAGGTGTCAGCTCTGTGGTGGTTCTGGTGGTAAAGAAGATAGAAATGATCTATGGCCTTGTGTTGCCTAGTGGATGCTTGGATGTTAAG